CCACAGGTCTTGTTCTACATAGGCTTAGGCTTACTTTTTCTACACATTTTCATTGCTCCACATCAGTGGTGTGCTGCTAAAGATTTAACAACCAGCTCTTGGGGGAAGGGCATTACTGATTTTTAGTGTTTCCCAGTTCCATGGTGTAAATAATCTCACCGTGGTCAACTTCAAGCTACAAACATAAAATCACCGAACATGGAATGGGGAAGATATGCTAACAAGTGACTCTCTGGTGCGAGCCAGCTCTAGCACACCACTGTCCCTAATCCATCTTCCCCAAAGAGGCATGGATGGGCTTTTTGACCCCTACTCCATCCTAACAATACTGTCTGACATCAGAGCAGTGGCTGACATTCATGTGTTCATCCACGGAATCATCCATTCACTCAAGACATATTTGATTCCCACTTGATACCAGACTTAGGAAAGACAGAGCTGAGCAAGAACTGTCTGTGGTGGGCAAACAGTCAAACGAAGAAATGGTCATGTGAGTGATAAGGACAGCTAGACAAAAGAGAGGGCTATTTTAAAATAAAAGGATTTCTGTTACCAGAAATATGGTAGACTAGATCATCTAAAACTCCTTCTACCTCAAAACACCCAGAATTGAAACATAAAATATCATTTTATCAAATGATATCAAACAAATATTCAATCACAGGTACAGCTGATCTTGCATGACAATAAAGGATTATCTTGGGGGTGGGGTGGGGGATGAACTAAAGGTCTGACCCCAAGAATGCCTGTGGTTATGGTGAGACAGCTGAGGTGTTGAGTTTTAACAGCCATGTGGATCCAGGAGATTAGGTCTAGGCTTGAAATGCCCTTCCCGCATGTAAAGTCAGACTCCCAGAGAGCCACACCATTAGTAAAAGGGTGGGCTAATGAGACATCAGCACAAGCAGACAAGAGGTCTTTCTCTTGGGCGGGGGGTATCTCCCCTGAAAATTCATAACCACAGATCTTCACACTTGTTAGAACTTAGAATTTACACTACTTGCATGGTTCAGAAATTCCCCAAGCTAAAAGTTGACATAAAAAGTGTGCCCAGGCTAACGATTGTGGAGTACCCAGAAGAAGCAGACACAAACACTGAAGGGCACATCTGCAAGCCAGGCCACACAGAATTCCTATGGATGAAACCTGGCTTAAAATGGGTTCACAATTCAAAATAATAAAATTAACAAGGAATCAGCCAACCATGAATGAAAACCATCAGACAAAATAAAGAATGTCAGATAGGAGGAATGTCATATAGATACTATGAAGTAAGTGTGGTGAAAATTATTAAAGACATAGGAAATCAAATGTATGAGAATATATGACTTTCAAAAAGAGGAAGCAACCTCATCTAAAATGAAAAATACAATAATTGAAATTAATAGTATAATAGCAGATTAGACAGAAAGAGGAGAGATTTGTGAATGAAATAGAATATAAATCTTTAAAAACTACCAAGAATGAAGCACAAAGGTCTAAAAAAATGCAAAACAAAAAAGAGTGGCTAAGAGAGGTGCAGGATAGAATAGAGTTCTGATAAATGTCAAATATGAATTGTACAAGTATGGAATATAATGATATAATACCTGAGAAATTTCCTGACTTGTACAATGACCTCAGATTAGGAATGAGTTTCAAAAAAGATAAATCCACACCTAGGCACATGGCAGAGCTTTAATACCACAGACAAAGGGATGATCTTAAAAGCAGCCAAACAGAAAAGACAAATCATGTACAAAGGAATAATAATTAGAATGACAGCAGACTTTTCAACAGGAGCAATGATGGGTGGAAGACAATGGAATAAAGTATTCTGAGTGAAAGACAGTAACATACGTTAGAATTCTCTACTCAGTTCAACTATCATTCAGAAGTGACAGAAATATAACTGAAAGCATTTACTTCTAAGATATCCTTGCTGAAAGAACTTTTAAAACATGTAATTTTGAAAGAAGAACACTGAACCCAGAAGGAAGGAGAAAGACAAAAGAAAAAATGGTGAACAAAAATACTAGTGAGCATACTGGTAAATCTAAACAGCACTGATTATACAAGACAAAAAAAAAAAATGAGTTGGGGAGGGCTTAAAAATAAGATTTAACCAAAGAGAACAATTACACAGAAGACAAGGACAATGATGTGGTTGAACTAATACATTAAAGTTTAAAGTTCTTCTTTTGTGTGGCAGAAGGGTAGAAATACTAATTATTGTTAGACCATATCAAATCAGATGTGAGTGTAAAAATTTAAAGAGTAACCCCTAAAAGTATAGAAAAGGAAGACTAATTCATTTTCAAATTAGTAGAAAGAGGTGAATCAAGGTGAATTCCTCAAAGGTGAGTAAAGAAAAAGTGACCGATCCAATAGAAGAATGGAAAGAAAGGCATAGAAAAAATCAAAATAAATAGAAAGCACAAAAAAGATAGTAGAAATGAATAAAAATATGTTACTAATCACAATAAATGCAAATGGACTATTTGCCAATTGAGATAGAGATTGTCATACTGGATTCAACAACAAACTCTAGCTATATGCTCTTATAAAACACACTCCTGAAACATAAATACTCAGAAGGCTTGAAAGTGAAAGGATGGGAAAAGATATACCAAACAAATACTAACCAAAATAAAGTTAGTTTCGCTATATCAATATCAGATAAAATGAATTATAGATTAAAAGTATTATTAGGGCAAAGAGTGTTACTTCATAATAATAAAATGAACTTTCCCAGAAAAATACAATTCTATACTTGTATACACAGTGTCAAGATATATAAAGCAAAAATTGTCGGAAATACAGGGAGAAATTGACAAATGCACATTAATAGATTTTAATACATCCTTCTTAGTAACTGATACATCAAAAGGCAAAAAATGGTAAGATGGAGAGGACACAACACAATCAATAATCTTGATTTAATAGACTTAACTAGATCCCTACAACCAACATTAGAATATACATGCTCTTTCAAAGAAAACATGGAAAAGTTTCAAACATTTATTACATACTTGATTACAAAGCAAGTCTCAGAAAATCCTTAACAAAAAGCAACATCATATACTATATTCTCTTGTATGAAGTAAAACTCAATAACAAAAAGATAACTTTAAAAAGGACTCATACATTTTGAAACTAAAAAGCACTTTTAAATAACCTCATGGATAGAAAAAGAAATAATGAAAACTAGAAAATATTTTTAAATTGAGCCATTTTCACATGGAGGAGTGGACAGCACCATTTATCTTTAAGAGAAAGCTAGCCAATTTGCTTGGGAAAACTATAGCTGGCTAATTCACCAAAAGCCAATTCACAGAATGGCCAGGTAGCCAAAAGCCAAATATGATGAAAAGTAAACCACTGGATATTGATTTGCTGCAAACCCATCTGAATTATTGAGCATTTTAAAAAGTCTGTTCCATCTGCACTCCTGCCTTTGTCCCTGTCCAGAACTGCCAAATAAACACTTTAAATGGAATTTAAGACAGTTCTCCACAATCATCTTGCACTGCAGATACAGAGGCAGGGGGGATGCAGGAATGGGGTCAGAGGTACAAATAAAACTTTGGGGGTAGAGGGGTGGGAAGGTTTCTCAATCACTGGGAGAACTGGGCATTCAGCAAACTGAGTTTTGGCAAACTGGACATTCAGCAAATTGGCTGTTGGTGAATTAACCTTAGCCACGGCTGACCCAGAGTCTACAAATGGGGTCTAAGCCTGGTCACGTAGGGAGAGGTTGAGTCGAAGAGGTGCCAAGACTCTGTATAGGCTACAATAAAGGTGTGTCTTGGGTGGAGATACTACTTTTTTCTAAATTAAGGGATTTTAAAGTTTAGGGATCCTGAGACCGAGGGCGGGTGTGGGAGCAGGTACACGCTGGCTAGTGGGAGGAAGTCCACTTCAGCAAGAATGTGGGTCACAGCACAGGCAAGGGGCTCACTACAAGGCTCTACGGCCTTTAGGGATCCCGAGATCAGGTGCTGAGCTTGAAGCTTTCCTTTACCGTGCCCTGAAACGCTTGTGGTATCTTTAAATCCTCCCACAGCCGGCTACACAGACACACACTGGTCCTGTGTCAGCGATTCTTTAGGTCTGAAGGAGGGGGCTTGGCCCGGGTGATGAAGCTGGGCAGTGACTGAGAGTGGTCTCCCCCCACGCCTTTCCTTGGAGGCCGGGCCAAGGATGTCAACACGGTACCCCAGAGTTCTGGGAGGCGACCAGCAGCAAGGCCAGCGGAGACCCATGGCAGGCCAGAGCTGCTTCAGGGACCAACACTGGGACTGCTGGGCGAGAAATTCTCTTCCCCCAAATATTCCAGAGGAAGAGAACCTACCGCGGAGGGAAGCGGGGGAAGCGGGCTCCCCCGGCGGCGGGCCTCTCCGCTTCGCTGGACCCCTGCTTCTGTCTCGCAGAGCCGGTTTGGCTCCACACGCCCACCTTCCCTGAGCTGTTCTAACGGGGGGTGGTCCTCCAGAGCGGGAATGAGGCTCCTAGTCCTCAGCCGAGACCCCTCCCCCCACCCCCAGCCGGCCGCGTCCAGACCAGGACAATGGTGGGGCCCACGCTTCTTTCACTCATCACACATTTATTTAAGGGCGTCCTACGTTCCAGGAGCTTCTGGGGTCACCTAAATCAACCAAATAGACCAGCAATTGGTCACACGAGATGTCATGACCCGGCTCGATGCTCTGCTGAGCGAGGGGACGGGGTGGCAGATCTGAGGATGCGCGGGGGTTTGGCAGCCACTCAGACCCACCCCCGACCGCGGCCCGCGCAGTCTGGCCTGCAGACCCCTCCCCACCCCGGCGGCCGCTCCCGCCCCCCCCCGCCCCCCAACACATACACCTCCCCGCGGCCTCGGAAACGGTCGGTTTACGGGATGTGACCTCTAGGAGAGGCGGGTCCCGTTTCATCCGAGCATCTCCACCTGGCACAGAGGATGTGCTCAGTAAATGTTGGATGCAAGAATAGATGATGGATGGGTGATGACGGATGGACGCGTACCTCGGGAAAACACATCTGCAAGCTGGCCGCCAGGCGGGACCCCGCGCGGAACCCCTCGCGGCACCCCTCGCGGCAGCTTCCTGAGGTCTTCAGCGAAGCAGGTGGGGAGGGGGCTTCAAGGAGGCGGCCCGCGGCACCGCCCCCCGGCCCGCGCCGCGGCGCCCTCTGGGACGTGTAGTATGCGCCTGCGCCCAGCGGGCCGCCGAGGCTGAGGGTCTCCGGGCGGAAGCCCGACCACCCCTCTTGGAGTGGGGGGCGCCGGGAGGCCGGGGCGTGCTCGGCCTCGCCTTTCCCCCACCGCCCGCGGCCCCAGCCCCGCTTTCTCCCGCGCCGACCTCGGTCGCCGCTGTCGCCGAGGGTCGCGGCACAGTCTGCGGCCGGGTTGCGGGCGCCGCGGGCCGCGCCGGAAGCTGAGAGCGGAGGCTGAGTCCCGGGATGGCGCGCCAGGTGAGGCGAACCGGGAGGACAGACGGACCGACGGACGCCTCGGCCGGTCAACTAGGCGCGGCGTGGTGCGGTCTCGTGGTAGAGGGACAAAGACCCGGGGGTCCGCCAACTTTGGTATCGGGCTGTGCTCGGCCGGGCGGGCCTGGCGCGCAGGATTTCGTGCGGAGAAGTCGAGGTCCCTGGACGACCCCGGACCCCCTCCCCGAGCTTCGTTCCCCAGTACCCTGTACGTGGAGCCTGCCTCCACCTTCGGAAACTCTCGTTCCTTTGGGTTACGCATCGCCTTCCCTCGGCGTGGCCTCTTTTAATTATTAGTTATCCTGGGAGTCGTGGGCATGAATGAAGGCCTCAGGGGAATGAGTAAATCTGATGCTTTTATTCTTGGTAGGATCCTGGACCCTTGGGGGAGGGGGCATGAATCAAGGCCCCAGGTTTTATCTACCTGGTAGGGTGTGTAGATTCTAGAGCTGGAGGAAGAGCCCCCATCTGTCGCAGCCTGGGCAATTCGGGCGAGTAGTGTGCGGGGCTGGAAAGATGCCAGAAAAATATGATGATACCAATGGGGAGTTGTTGCGGTTCCTCAGGGTGGGTGCAGGGAGCCAGTTCTGTCGTTTTCGTGGCGGTGAACTTGGGCCAACCTCAGTCAATTGTAGACTCCGTGGTTTGAAGGTGGGTGGGTGTTGGGATAGCGGCCTGGGCATTTTGTGGCCAGATCTAGCCAACCGGAACCAGAACCTCCAGTCATTCATGGCCCACAAGCTCTTGGGAGAAGCCAGGAAAAGTGGTTGTTGTGGGAGCAGGGGCAGCCTTCCTTGCGGCTCTGGCTGCGCAATGAAGGAGCCCAAGGACACCCTTGCTCGGGTATGCCCGCTGGTCCTGTGCTAGGCTCTCCTCAGGCTGCAGTTCCTCTTCTACAAAATGAGGGGTTTGGACCACCAGTCTTTCAGGTCTGATGTTCCAAGAAGGATGCATCCTCACATTGTGTAGCTTCCCAGAGAAGGTGGCTAGGAGTGGCTTTGGGGGGCAGTAGATAACAGTCAGATGGATAGTTACAGGGAACGCCTCTTGTCCTTCTGTCCCTTGTGATTCCCAAAAGCCCAGGGATGTGTGAGCACAGCCCATAAGTGGGGGGCAGCAGGGTGCAGGGTCCAAACTGGGAACCCAAGGCTGAGGCATGCTGGGAGAATGGGTCTAGGCTGGGAAGGACTGTGGAAAGATGGTCGGGTCCCGTGGGCACAGAAGCTGGGGTTTTCATGTTGGGCTAATGACAGGGTAGAAGGAGTGTTTTAGGAGGACCGGCATGGCAGCAGCGAGTTAGGAGGCTGCACAGTTACAATAGTCCTGGGTCGATCCAGAAAGCTTTTCTCCTGTTGGTTGAGGGAGCGAGGCCTGAGCCACAGAGGAGGTGAAGCAGGGCCCAAGGAGACAGTCGGTCCAGATGCAAGCCAGCAGTGTATTTCCCTCCCCTGAGGCAAGCATTGGTGCCTTACGTGTTTCCACACTCATGCTTGCTCACTCACACACGCACTCCTCACTTTTCCTCCACTTTTTCTGGGCAAAGGGAGGCCATTGATTGAACTCTCTGTACTGGCCACAGTCAGGTCCCATTTCCATTTTATAAGAACTTTGTCTTGAAGAATGTGTCTTGAGGCCGAGATGGTGAAAGACCTGGAAACCATCTCTTCCAGATGTCTGAAAGAGTTGGGTATATTTAGCGAGGAGATAAAGAGGCACTGGAAGTCAGAAGTAATATGTGAGGAAGAGCCCATTCTGTGTAGCTGGGGCTTCCGGGCTCTGACCTGCAGGTGGACCAAACAGGTGCGGGGGCCTCTAACACTAATCACAGCGCTTACGACATCCCAGCCTTTGTTCCAGGCACTTTTCCTGTATTAATTCATTTACTCTTCACAACATCCCCATGCTGCAGGTCGTTATGATCCTGATTTTATAAATGAGTTCACCAAGGCCCATGTAGGTTAAGTAGTTTGGCAAGGTCCCATAGCTGATATGAAGCAAAACAGGGATTGGAATTCTGGCAGCCTGGCTCCTGGCTCCTGAGGGCCAGCCCTAACTCCCACGTGGTGCCTCATCTGTGTGCCCAGGACGGCTGCTGCTTTTTTTTTTTAAGATTTTATTTATTTATTTGAGAGAGAGAGAATGCACGAGCAGGGGGGAGGGGCACAGGGAGAGGGAGAAGCAGGCTCCCCACTGAGCAAGGAGCCCCGATGCGGGAGTCCATCCCAGGACCTTGGGATCATGACCTGAGCCAAAGGCCGACAGTTAACTGACAAGCCACCCAGGCGCCCCTGTGTCCAGGACTTCTTGAATGCCAGATTGGGCCAGTAATAGGACCAGCTGCTGGGAATGTGGTGAGCCACCCATTACTGAAGGCATTCAAGGAGAAATTGAAGAGACATCCCATTTTGGGTGGAAATTGGCATTAAATGATCCTTGCTCCTTAAAGGTCTAGGCAATTGTCTGATTTCTGGTTCACAAACGCATGACATTTGAGAGCTGGCTCCTGGGAAGAAAGAGGGCTGAGTCTGTTTTCAGGGGTCCGTTCCCCAGCATACTTTTCATTTCCAGCAGGGTTGGGCAGGACTCCAGCCTATGACTATCCCCTGCCCTGTGGCTCTAAACTGAGAATGTGTCAGAATCACGGGAGGCTTGAAAACGTAGATTTCTGGGCTTACTCCTGATTTAGTAAATCAAGGACAAGGCAGGGAAATCAGCCCTAATTAAAAGGAACCTGAAGTAAATCGTTTGAACCTAAAAGCGCTTTTGTTTTTTCAGTCATTATGTTGGAAAAAGCTTTTTTTTTTTTTTTTAAAGATTTTATTTATTTGTCCGAGGGTGCCACAGCGAGAGAGGGAACACGGGCAGGGGGAGCGGGAGAGGGAGAAGCAGGCTTCCCGCGGAGCAGGGAGCCCGATGCGGGGCTCGATCCCAGGACCCTGGGATCATGACCTGAGCCGAAGGCAGACGCGTAACGACTAAGCCACCCAGGCGCCCCTGGAAAAAGCTTCTGATGGGAGAAGCTGAAGAGACAGTATTTTTCACTCAATTTGTTAAACAGAGAACTTGTCTGCTGACATCTCGGGATAAACTAGCCCCCCCACCCCACAGTGTCACGTGGCTCTGCTGGGCCCTTCTCCCACGTTCCCTGCCCCAGCCAGAGCAATGCCATTTGGACTCTGCCATTCCGCAGTGTCTACAGGAACATTTCTTTGTACTCAAGATCTGCCACTACAAACTTGCCTGGGAAATAATAATTTTGAAAAATGAGATGTTTGATGCTTGTTTTCTTAAGGTTTACCAAGGTCATTGGTTATTACAGTCATAATTAAGCACAGCAGAAAAAGCACCCAAATCTCAGCTCAGAGGTCCCCGTCCTAAACTTGGCGCTGTGGTGGTCTACCAACTCTGCTCACTGCTTCCCCACTTGGCACTGTGTGAACCCTCACCCCACATGTGGGATAACAGTGTCTGACCAGCTGCCTGCAGAGATCTGTTTTGTTAATCGATGAGAGCTCTGAAATGCTCCGAAACAAAGGATCCCGCTTCTGATGTCTGGGTCCCTTGAGAATAGAGCCTGCACGGGACACAGCTCACTTGGCATCCAGCAGGGTGCCCGTAACATGCGAGTGTTCAGGTGAGCCGAGCCGGGGAGAGGCCCATGGGGCCGAGGTAGGCTGAGTGTCTCGCGTACCTGGTGCACGCGCAGGGTAGCTTGTGTCGGGGAAACCTGGCCTGCAGAGGAGCGGCCACGTGCCCTGATCTCCGGCGGTGGCTGTCAAGTGGGAGATGCTCAGGCTGGCTGCAGTTGACATGACCTTCGTCCCATAGAGAGGGCACGGGGAGAGGGTCAGCGGCTAGACCCTACTGTTGGCTGTGTTGTGTCTGTCCAGAATCCAGCAAGAAATGGGGATGGCTCTTTGAGAGATGTTTTTGAGGGTGTCTGAGCGTGTTCCTGAAAGGGAGCCACCGTACTTGGGCTAAGAGGGGTGGGGAGGACTTCCAGAAGGTCTGCTGGCTGGCCGAGAGAGCTTGAGAACCTCTGGACCAAAGGCAGTAGGCCGCGGAGAGGCTGCCTCCAGCCGGCTGTGTGGACGGGGTCTCGACCAGTTCAGCAGCACAGTGGAGGGCAGTCGTGACCATACGGTGCCGGCTGTCAGGGGGACGGGCAGAGTGGGGGGCAGATGCCTTTGGTGACAATGCTGATAGTTGGTAGCAGTGATGGTTTTTAAAGTCACTGACTTGAGTTGACGAAACAAGGCAGTAGATTAACGTCTTTATTAGGAGTGTTTTCATTTTATTCAGTCATTTTTCTTACAAATAGTTTAGCATCTGTTTCTACATCAGAAGGACCCTTCCCATATTTTACGTTCTATTTGCTTAATTTGCACAAAGTTAATTTTTGCTGTAATTTTAAATACATGCCTATCAGATGCTGGTAATCTTCTGGGGTCTGATGGCCATTTTAAAGCCCACTTAGTGAGGATTTTTAAAGAAGTTAGGACAGAATGTTTCGTGTATCTTACAAAGCAGGGGATGCCGTCCAAGGGTGATTCCACGTCTCTTCCAAGCCCTTCCCTGCAGAGTAGGCCACAACGTACCAGGCTGCAAGCCACAGGGGTGCAGAGTGGAGAGGTCCAGGAGGGGGCTGGGGTGGGGGAGTGGGGACAGGGGAAGGAGGCCTACCTGGTGGCCTGGAAGGGCTCCTGCAGAGCATAGTACCCACGTGCTGCACGGGCTTGGTGGTAAATGCCATGGGTCACGGCCATGGGGATCACGGTGGCAGGCCGGGGCCCTGAAGGTCAAGTGAGACTGGGAAAGTGAGGGCAGGCTCAGCCCAGCACGGGCCTGGAGTCTGGCAGAGCAGCTGGGCCAGAGGGTCTGTAGAAGCACTGTGGCCGTAGGATTTGGGGTCTGAAGATCAAGGGCCACCAGTGAGCACGGGTGCATCGACTGCTGTTCTTCATTCCCGGTCGCACGGTCATCTGCCCTGGTATGGGAGGCCTGGCCTCCTTGAGACATCCCAGGCTGTTTGAGGTGTTCTCTCTTGCTCTCTTTCTTGGGGTGGGGCTGGGAGGAGCCACATAAGCATTTTGCTTGCTTGATTCCTGACTGTTGGGTCATCCCCACTAAAAAGTATGGAGTGTTTTGTTCTTTGTCGTACTTACTATCCATTTTATCTATGATCTTGTTTAAATGCCGTAGCGATAGGACCTCAGGTCCTTGCACGGTCGAGGCGAAGTTTGCTTATTAACTCCAGTGACTCTCCCATGGTGAATTTAGAGCTGGCTGGGCTTCCCCCTGGAGTTGGCCTTTTCTTAGGCCCAGGCTGAGGGCCACGGACTGTGAGGGCTTCTGGGGGAGGGGGGGGTGCCTGTAACGAAGTACCACAAACTGGCAGGCTTCACCAGCAGGTGGATCCTCTCACTGTGCTGGAGGCGAGGGAACCCCAACCAGGGCGGTAGGGGGCTATGCCCCCTCTGAAGGCTCTAGGGGAGGGGCAGAGGGTGCTCTACTCCTCTACTCCTCTCCTCCAGCCTCCGGTGGTCCCACGTTTCCTTGGCTTGTGGCTGTGTCACTTCATTCTCTGCCTCCATTGTCACTGGGCCTTCTCCTCCCCGTGTGACTGTGTGTCTTCTCTTCTTATGAGGACACTGGTCATACCGGGTTAGGGGCCCACCCTACTCCAGTCTGACCTCACCCTAACTACATCTGCAAGGACCCTATTTCCAAATAGGGCCACGTTCATGGGGGACGAGGGTAGGGACTTCAGCATACCTTTTTGTGGACACAGTCCAAACCCCATCTCTGTCCCGTGAGCAGATTCCTGCCACTCCTTCACCTGCTCCCACGTGTCAGGCCCCCGCCACACTCTCACTGCTCCCCACTCCCTGGTGTACCCCTGGAGACACAGTGAAGCTGGCAGCGCTGGGAGGGAGCCACCAACTCCCCGGAGATTGTGCCCACAGGTGTCCGTGGCCTTCCAGGACCTGGCCGTGAGGTTCTCCGAGGAGGAGTGGCAGCTGCTGGGGGAAGGGCAGAGGACGCTCTACCGCGACGTGATGCGGGAGAACTACGAGACGCTGCGCTCCCTGGGTAAGGAGCCCGCCCCAGCCCTGAGGAAAAGTGAAGGGAGGTGGGATCCAGGACCAGGTAGGTCCTGAGTCACCCTGAGCCCGCCAGGCCTGAGTCTTAACTACAAAATGAACACCGTTTGAGGTGGTGTTCCTAGAGCCTCAGGCTGAGCTGAGGGCCTCGCAGATCTTTTATGCCATTGTTGTTTCCATAGTCTGCACCAGGGTTATGAGTAAGATTCGGTTGGGGCACCCCAGAACGGGCGAAACACTGAGCAGCCTGGTCTCTGAGCCTCCGGTGGCCCCGCAGTTCTTGGGGTTTGGGTGATCACGTGAACACACATGTAAACAGGTGCATGTGTGATTGTGGTAGGTGGAGGCCAGCTTCCATTCCCAGGGGCTGTCCCTCCCTCTTTTCTTTCCCAGGGACAGATGAGCTGCTCCCCCTCTCTGCCTTCCTGTCTCCTACGGAGCCTGGAGGAGCCATGGAAGGCAGGAACTACGCTGGTGAGGGGCAGGAGCCTCCTAGGGGAGGAGGCCCCCTGGGTGAGTAATTTTGATAGTTGAGGGTCAGGCCCCGTTGGGTGTCCGGGGCCCAGGTGGACTCACTCTAGTCCCTTCCACTATGTGGTCCTCAGCCCCTGGCTTTACTCCTCAGGGAACACTGTGCCCTCAGCCCTTGCCCCACTCTGTACCCAAATCTCTCTGTGACCTTTCACCCTTTGCCCCCCTCGGCTGTGAACCTGGCGCACTGTTGCCCGTTGTATGCCATGCTAGGAAGAAACCTGGGGTCACCCGTGGAGAGCACCCCCTATTCAAGCCTCCTTCCTGCCACTAATGTGCAGGGCCAGCCTGCAGCTGCCGAGGGCGCTGCCACAGGGCTGACCTCAGACGCTGGATATGGCCCACGGGCCCAGCCTGGGTGGGGCCGCAAGGGCAGGGGTGCCAGGAAGGGCAGAGGGCCCGGCCGGTGGGAGGGGTGGGGAGGCTGCCCTCCGTGCGTTCCCCTGGGGAAGTACCAGGTAATGAGGGACACTACCTAGAGTCCCCAGCCCCTAGTCCCGGCTGTGCCTGGGGCAGATCCTTTTTACTTCCCGGACGTCAGTCTCCCCTGGGCTGCTACCCACGTGGTAGGAAGATGACATGAAACTCTGGTTAGCAGTTGTGTGCAGAAGCGTGAGTGCTGAGCTGAGGGTGTGGGGGTTCACTGCGGCCTCTTCGGCAGGAGGCGCACCCCCGCACAGCCTGCACCTCACTGCCCTGGTGCAGCTGGTCAAGGAGATTCCGGAGTTCCTGTTTGGGGAGGTCAGCCCGGAGAGTGAGAGTGGGAGCGGGGCAGTCAGCCTGGATGGGGAGCGGGGGAGCCCCGAGGGTAAGTCGGACAATATCAAGTTCAAGCTGGGTGCCGTGGGCCTGCCCAGCCCCTGCTAGACCCTAGGTGGAGTGGTCTGGGTCACGAATTCCCTGGTAGCACGTCTGCCCTCGAGAAGGCATGGGTAGTGCGGAGACAGGGCTCCCGGCCTTTCTCATGCTGGTTTCTACCTGTCGCATCGTGCCCTGTGTGGTGGGTGAGGCCAGGTCCTGTTCTGGAGATGAGAAGGAAGCCGTGCCCAGTCTGCATGGCCAGTGGGGCCCAGTCCCCCAGCCTGTGCTCTGCCCACATCCCCAGACTCTTGGTCCTTCCCCCTGCTCTGCTCTCCGGGTGCTTTCAGCTCAGACCATACTTCCTCAAGAAGTCTGTCCCCATCAGCCCTGGCCTTTGAGCCTTCTAAGTGGCAAATGACACAGAAAGTGGGGTGGGCAGGATCTTATCAGAACGAGACTGGGGCTATGGATGTATGTTTCAGAGCCCGGGAATGACAATGCAGAGGATACTGACATCCGGGTCGTTGTCAATGGCACAGGGCAAGGAAGGGCCCGGATGGGACAATGGTGGGGGCATTTTACCCACTGCTGGGCTTAAGTCTAGTTTTGAGTGTCCTCTCCCTCCTCCCCAATAGCAGCTGTGACTGTGGAGACTTGCCCTCTCCAAGGCCTGCTCGGCTGCCTTCCAAACACGCCTACTGGCTGGCCCCACCTGGCCACCACATCTAGCAGCGGCTCATCGTCCAGCAGCCTGCCTGGAGCCGGGGGCCAGGGGAGCCCCGTCACCATCAGTGAGTGCGACCCAGCAGGGGCAGGGCTCTGACCCTGGAGGCAGGGGGACTGGACTCTGTGCCCTCTTCATTATCTCTAGGACTCAGTTTCTCTTATTGCTAAAGCGGGCTCGCTCCCCAGAGAGCAGGACAAGGGCCTCTGTCTGTAGAGCAGAGAGGAAGTATGATACTCGGTCCCTGAGCAGCTCTCTCCCAGCCCTGCTTGCAGAGTCCTGTGTGATCATGCACAGGGAGTGGAAGGCAGTTTCCAACATGCCGGCCTGTTGGCAGGGGACACCCCTGTGTGCGCCTGACCTGAGTCTCAGACCTTCTCACCAAGGCAGCCCTAAGAGTGGAGGAGGGCAACTAGAATTTCTCTGGGGTCTCATTGTATTTCTAAAAACTCTTGCAAATTTTGCATTTGTTGGAATATCTTTCATTTAAAATATTTTAAATGAATGTGGACTAAAATTGGCTCTCCTGAAAAACAGACCCCATTTTAGGTATCACCTGGCAGATTTGCTTTGGGGGTCCACATGCTCAGATTTGAGAAGCATGAGTACAAGATTGGGCCCTGCGTGTCAAGGCTGCCGGACTCACTTATTGAGCCAAAGTCAGAGGCTGGAGTTGGGGGGTTCCGTGTTATTCAGAGCAAGCAGTCTTGGTGTTTACAATGACACCAGAAGGAAACAGGGAAAGGAGCCCTGCCTTTGCCAGGACGGATTCCTAGGACAAGCCTGCAGGAGCTGACTCTGCCACAAATCCAAGTTTCCAGGACTTGGCTGCCCCCCAGGGATGTGGGGGGGGCTGAGGGGCCTGTCCTCTATGGGGACCAATCTGGGGCAGTTCCTCAGGGCCAGGAGCCAGGGCTAGAAAGACCTTTCTGTCTCTCCTATAACAGAAACTCCTGACAAACCAAGACCTACAGAGAAGGAAGGCCCAGAAGCCCCAGGTGGGGAGCCCAACCCTCCTACCTATAGCCCCAGCAGGAAGAAGGGCCACGGAAGACAGGAGAGAGGGACCCTGGGGACAGGTGAGAGGCTGGCTCTGCTGAGAGCGGGGTGTGCCCTGGAGCTGAGCGGGGGAGGGAAATGGAGGCATGCTCGGTTCACACAAGCCTGTCAGGTGGCTCTCTCATCTTGGCCCCCTGACAGCCCTACATGGCAGGTGTCCCTGTTCACACAGGTGGGAATCTCAGACCTTCTGAGAGTCCCATAGCCGCCATCATCAGGGCGGCCCTGACCTTGGCTGGTCTTGCAGGTGCTGTAGGAATCTCTCCTGGGAGCAGCCCCTTGCAAGGCCTTATCAACTGCCTGAAGGAAATCCTTGTGCCTGGACCCCAGCATCCTGAGGTGTCCCGAGGCTTGCTGCCTCCTGTCCCCGGCCAGGGCACCTCTCAGCTAACCGGAGCAGAGCTGGGGCCCGAGAGCCCACCCTGGGCAGGTGAGTCCCCTGCGGACCTGTCTCCTCAGGCCAAGGTTTCTGAAGCCCCAGGAAAGCTCAAACTGCCTTTCTGTAGCTGTTTCTCTGCAAATACAATGTCTTCCCAAAGGACCATTCCCAACACGGCTGCCCTCCTGTCATTGGTGGCCTGTTGCTGGAGCCGGGTGGCTTTTTTAGGAGAATGACATTTGGTCAGCTGGTAGAAGGAAACTCAAAAACAGACTTGGCCTGGATCCTTTTGTTTTTTACTCATCCTAATACGGGACCTTGAGGAGGAGCTGCCAAGTTATCACTGTGTTGACTCTTAAGTGGGCGCTTAGAGTAGGCGGTGGGGGGGGGCGGTGGGTGGGGGCGGCGTGCTGGGGGCAGGAGCTGTGAAGACTGTGAGAGCCTCCTGAAGCCTTTGAGCCTTGGTTTCCCCATCTGTGAAAGGGGATCATTGTTCCCATCTTCAGGTACAGTGAGTCTCAGATACAGTAACGTACTTGTGTGTGTGTGTTTGTGAAAAGCTTGGTCCTTAGAAGCTTTGCTTGGGGCCCAGGGAACCACGGGCAGGTAGGAACCTGTCCGCTCGCTTCTTTCCCCCTGGACGTGCCCCACCTTGATGCTGCACCTTCTCATCTCCCTCCTTCCAGCCGTCTGCTTCAGGGAGGTGTGAAGACAGGTTTTTTTTTTTTTTTTTTGATTTATTTATTTATTTTAGAGAGGTGGGGGGGAGAGAGAGGTGGGGGGGAAGGGGCAGAGGGAGGAGGAGAGAGAGTCTTAAGCAGACTCTGTGCTGCGCACGGCACCCAACATGGGCTCCATCCCACAACAGCTGCGCCACCCAGGTGCCAAAGACAGGCATTTGTAAACTAAGCCCAAGGAGACAGTGGCCTGTGGGGGTCTAAATGAACTGCAAGAAGACCCACATTTCCAGATTTCTGGCCCTTATCTGGACTGTCTGCTTTTTGTTGTTTGTCATGACTGGTCTCAGGGTGCAAATGCGTTCCTCTTTTGTATAGTGAAGACAGAGGCAGCTTCCGGGGCTTGTCCCCTCCAGGGTCTGCTGAACTGTCTGAAGGAGATCCCAGAGGCCCAGCACAGGCATCCTAGCCCCTCAGGAGTAGGGGACCCACCACTACAGGAGGACCCAGGGGCCTGCCAAAGGAATTCTGGAGGTAAAAGCCACTGACTGGGCAGGGAGGGCCCCAGGACAATATCCATTTCCTTTTCCAGCTCCAAGCAGGCCTCCACATCAGGCCCTTAGGCCCTCGCCTCTGTGTGTAGGTCGGAGTTGCCACATGTTAGGGACCATCCCTGTAAATGGAGTTAGGCCTGTAGGAGGTGCTTCATCAGTCCATGATCACTATCCAGGTTGGCTGTTAGAGTAGCGCTGAAAGTTCCAGAAGGGAGGAATGGAGCGTAGGGAGGGGGAGGCCCGAGAACAGAAGATGGCCCGTGGACACCTGGGGCATAATTTTGAATTGGGTGCTCGCATCATGTTCATGTGGGCTTGGGTAGTGTTTCCACACACTGTAGCTCACCAATACTCGGTAGCTTCTCAGACTGCTGAGAAAGTCGAATTGACACAGACTTGCTGGCCTTGGAGGAAAGACCCTGATTTGGTGCCCCCCGAGGAGCCTGATGTGGCGTCCCTCAGTAGAAACCTCTGGAGGCGCCCCAGAGGGCTTGGGGCAAGATGGGAGTGTGAGCTGCTCCATGTGCTAGTGTTTGAGCAGTGACCGCCTTGGAGCCAGAGACTGCTGTGGAGGCCAGGGGTCTTGGGAGCCCTGTCCTGACCCTATAACGGGCTCATGGGGGCTTCCCACAGGGCCCAGACCCCTGCAGACCCCTCCTCCCGGGCCTGGTCCAGGAGCTGGCAGCGTGCCCTCTGTGGTGAAGATGGAGGACGGCTGGGCCCAGAGCCCCCCCGTGCCTGTGTCCTGTCAGCTCCGCAAGTGGACCCACAGCCCCTCTGCCGCCAGCAGCCAGGGGAGCGATGGAGAGACCAGAGGGGCCCGAGTGCCCAGCTGGGGTCCCATAGCTCAAGGTGAGGCCTGGGGGCATCTCTCAAGTCCTCCAGTGGGATTCTCAGCCCCACCAACAAGGTTCTGCCAGCCCACAGGGGAGGGAGCAGGTCCAGCCCACAGGGGGAGGCCCTGGCCGTCCTTCTCAGGCAGTGACTCCCCTCTCTTCACCTACGTCCTCCTTAATCCAAGGGCCTGGGAGCTTTCCATCGTAAGGATTTTAGTTTACAGAGATTTCCTGCCTGTCAGGAAGCTGGTCACTACATACATGTGGGTCTCTCCACCCCACCCCTGGGCTGGGGTACAGATTTGTCATTGCGCTGTAGGAACAGAGAGTGAATCAAAGTCCCCCACAGGGTGTCCTGCCTGGCAGGCCTCCACGCCTGATGCAGGACTTGTCGCCCCTGCAGAAGGCAGGTTGGGGCAGCCAGCCTAGGGCCGGGCCAGGGGAACGTGCCTGAGATGGTGATAGGGCCATCTCCCCTGTCCCAGCCGGCAGTGCCTCGAGCTCACCCCTGGAAGCCCTGGAGGCCTGTCTGAAGGGCATTCCCCTGAGTGGGTCGTTACCTCCCCAGCCGCCGGCCACCTCTGGATTCCAGAGCCCTCAGCCAGGAGACCCCGGGTCTCAGAGGCCCGAGCTGCAGCCCTGCAGATCACACAGTGAAGGTAGACGGGGCCCTGGGCTCAGGGGTGCTGAGCCCATAGTTAGGTGCCCCGCTCCTCATCCTGGGCCTCTGGAGGTGCAGGCCCTTCTGTAGCCCCCTTATTGATGCCTCCCCCTGAAGAGTTCCCGAATGTGGTGGAAGCCCGACTCTTCCTGCCCACTGCCCCCTCTGAGGGCTCTTACTTACTTTCCAGCCCCATGAGACCAACAGTTGGGTTCACGTGGGTTTTTTAACCAGTGCTTGAGCCCCTAACCTAAGGGGAGACCCTTGTGGGAGATCCTTCAGGGTAGGTGTCCTGGTTGCCCACCCCCAGCCCAGGGCCCAGGGGACCTCTTGTCCGGTGGCTTTCTCATGATGTCAGCTGTGCTGTTTCCTGCAGAGGTGACTGGGGGGCCTTTTCTGGCTCTGAGTCTGCAGGGCTGTGTGAGAGGCAGCCCTGCCCTCCCCTCAGGTCCCCACAGCACCCCTCCCAGCTTCTCCTCATCCAGCAGCACCGATGGGGACCTGGATTTCCAGAGCCCTGGGGGCAGCCAGGGGCGTCCGCCTGGAAAAGGTGAGCTGGCAGGCCTGAGGCTGGGGCTCAGTCCTGGGGAAGGATGAGAGGCACCCTGCCTACCGTCATGTCTGACCCAACCGGGGCAGGCTGCCATGGAACTGTCTGGAACAGAGCTGGGGATGTTGAGGCAGGAGCAGACACGGGACTTGTTGCAGGGTGGCGGTGGGGCGGGGCGGGGGGTGGGGGGGTACCTAGCTCCGAAGGGGCAGGATAACAGCTAAGACCCCTTACAAGATAGAAGGAGGTCTCCTTTAGTGTCAACTTTTTCCTTATCCCAGCCACAAAGAAACGCCTATAATATCAAACTGACCTCTGACTTAAGAAAAAATGTCCCGAGGTTCATGTAAAAGCACCTTAAGGAGTGTCTTTGGTGACCTATGTCTCTCCAAGCACCCGCCGCGCCCCCCCGCCCTGTGCAGAGGCGGCCACGGTGAGCTGTCACACCTCTTTGGAATTTTGCAGGACTCTGTAGTGTCCCCTCTTGACCTTTGTCCCCACTTGAATCATCCAGGCGCTCTTGGTCTGCCTTATCCACAGACACTGGGTTCCCCGTTGGCTCGCCTTTGTATCCTCTTGTCAGCTGAAGGCCTAGAGCTGCCCCAGCACTCTGCCCCCGGCTAGCTGGAGCCCGTGGGGCTCTGGGGCCTCCCAGTGCCCATGGCAGCCTGGATTCCTGCCAGGCTGTGGGGGCCCTTTCCTCCCCCAGTGCAGCCAACTTTTCTTTTTAAGTTTTAGTTTTTAATAGGCAATCACAGGGTTTTGTTCAAAAGCTATAAAAGGTTGCGGAGGAGAGATGATGTCTCCCTCCACCCCCCCCAAGCCCCCGCCCTCCCTGAGTCCCCACGTGCGTTCTCTCACCTTTCAAGGGCATTCTCTGCGCGGCCCAGCTGCTGGTTCCCTCACACAGGCGGCAGCATTCTGTACGCAGCTTTCCACCTTGCCTTTTGTTTTACCATCTACCTCTGGCATCTTCCTGAATTTTGTCTGCGTGTTTCTTGGAGCCTAGCAGCACCCCGTCCCTCCTAACCGCTGCGCAGTACCCGTCCATAGGGGTTAGCACATGGCTTGTTTGGGCGGCCTCTGTGGGTGCACTTAGCTTTCTAAGGAACCCAAACCACAGGAGAGTTGGTGCTGCCTTTTAGAAGCTTCCAGCCCAGCTCCCCAGCTCCCTCTGTTGCTGTAGAACTCAGGGAAACTGCATTTGGGGTTCTTGTAGTTGCACTTTGCTGTTCCAGCCCCACGCGGCAGCCCAAAGCTCTGATACTCTCTCTTCGTGCCCTGCCTGGCCTGGCGTCAGCAAATGCCTTCCGGAAAGAGCATGGCCACGAAGTCAGCTCACGCAGGAAGGGCCTTTCCTTTTTGGACTTTTGGCTCCTTTACTTCCTGCTGCTTCCACAGCTCTGTCACTAGAAATGCAGTATTTGCGGCTTGTCTTTTTTCCCCAAGTTGCGACACTAGTGTTGGCCTTCTCAACCTGCTACATCATATCTGGAGGTGAAGGCGCCTTTAGCGTTTCCCTCTGCCTAGCGGAGGGAGCCTCAGGGCTGTCTGCGGGCGAGGCAGCATGGTGGCCTCCCTCCCAGGGGTGGAGCAGGGTGTCATGCCTGTGGCTGATCGCCCTTGTCACAGCCCACTGACCAGTTCTGTGTAGATGGCTCAGACAGGCTGGCTTCTTCCAGCGCCAGCCCAAGTGGGCCTGCCCAGAGCCGGGACTGACACGTGTTGGGGACCAGGTGCCTGGCATGACAGGTCCTCTGAGCCTCCTCCGTGGCCCCAGCTGCCCTGGCCACAGGGGTGGAGGCGAGGCTCCCAGGCTTTGCAGAGACTGAGCTCTGACCATCCAAGATTGCAAATGTTGGGTTTTCACAGGAAGCCCAGTGGGAAGCTCCCCGCTCCAGGGCCTGGAGAACTGTCTCAGAGAGATACCTGTGCTCAGGCCGCAGTCAGCCTCGTCCTGGTCCTCAGCAGGGGACAGGGGGTCCCAGAGAGCAGAGCCCAAGAATTGGACTGCAGACAAGGAAGGTAAAGTACGGCTGCCCCGGCGTCAGAGAGCAGGGAAGGGCGACTTTCACACGGCCAGCCCCGGCCCTGTCCCCCCACGCAGTTGGCAGGCCCACCTCCAGCCCTGAGGGGAGAAGACGCTGTGGAAATGGCCTGGGCAGAAGCTTGTGTGAGGCCAGGAAGCCAAACAGTGCCGCCAGCCTCTGAGTGGTGGGTGGAGTCAGGGCAGGATACCCAGGGCTGCATCGGGGCCAGGGCTGGAGCCGGGGCTGGGGGGCTGGGACGTGCCAAGCAGGTGGATTGCGAGCCCCGCCGTCTGCTGCTCCGAGTCCAGGCCTGAGCCAGGGCCTTAGCAGCACAGTATATTTCAATCCTCTGTGTCGGCTTCGAGTACCTTGGTGTCCGGCACATTCTCTGAGCTGTGGGGCCCCCAGGACTCCAGGTGGCCGGGTCTGGGGATAAAGAGGTCCTGGAAGATTTGGGCGGCTCCCGGGAACATCCGTAGGCCTAGCGTGTGTCCCACACCTGGAGCTCACGTGCCCAAGAAGCCAACAGTGGCAGAAGCTGTGCTCTGTCCATTGACTTCCTTGTCTCAGTGCCCCACAGGGGTGACAGGCCTCTTGGCTTCTCATGGAAACAGGACTGAGAGGCGAGGCCTGTGAGCCAGCTCATCTGGGACAGAGTCCGGGGGAAGCACCCACCAGGAGCTTCCGGCTGGCCAGCCCCCAGGCGCTCACCTCCAGCAGCGTCCCCATCTGCTACCAGCGAGGGCTCAAAGACCATGGGGCCACCAGGCCGGGGCCGTGGAGGTGGCTCCAAGATGGTGAGCTGACATCTGTCCTGGTGTTCCATGGCATGTCTTCCCTCCCAATAAAACCTTCGACGAGGGACTAGATCCCCGCTTCCCTCTCCTCTGCTCCCTCCACCCCAGCGCAGCACCGGCGGGCGGCTGGGGCAGTGTGCTGGCTGCCCCACGCCTCGGGCTGCGGGCTGGGACGCGTGCTGGGGCGGGTGAGCGTTCCCCAGACTCCTGGCTGCAGTGCTCCGAGGTGTGCTGGAAGAAGACCGTAAATGGGTCGCTGAAAGGAAGGGTGGGGGACGGTTTTCAGCGGCCTTGGGGTTTCTCTGGGAGATGACTGGTTATTTCCTTTATTGTAGTAGTTGCCTGGGGTCACAGTGGGGGTGGGTAACGGGAATGGGGGGATCTCCCTCTGCTCTTGCCACTGCTCATTTGTGCTTACAGCGGTGTTCCTTCCTAGCCCTGCCGGAGTGGGCTGGAAGGGTCTGGCTTATTTGGATAAATGTGGTATTTCTAAATATTCCCAGCAGAAGAGAACTGGCTCTGGGGGACTTCCTGTGGACAGGACTGAGTCTCTACTCTTGGACCGCTGGTCCCGAGTGAAGCAAGTAGGGGCCGCCTGGCTCTAACACCCGGGGCCTGTCTGGAGCCAGACTGCTGGCGGCTGGTACCAGGGACTTGAGACTTCAGGAAAGTTCCCCGCTGGCTTTGCTTCTCCTCACCTTCCTTGGCCAGAGTGGGAGCTGTAGGGTCTCCCAGGGCCTGTGTGGGGCCGTTGGCGGACCTGCAGGGGGACCAGCTCTGCGTGCCTGTGTACTAAGGTAGAGGGTCCTCCTGCCTGCCATCAGGCTGATGGACGAGGTGTTCTTCTGTTGTCATTTGCGCAGGCGCAGCCACAAAGCCCTCCCCACTCCACTGTCTGGAGAACTCTCTGAAGGGGATCTTGCCTGGGAGGCCCCTGCGCTTCGCCTGCTTGGCAGGCCCCAGCCCCAGCCCCAGCCCCAGCCCCAGCTCCAGCTTCAGCAGCTCAGAAGGAGACGAGCTCTGGCAGCTGCTCCCTCAGGGTGAGTTTGCAGGGGACAGAGGAGGCCAGGGAGCCATTCCCTCCCTCGTCCCGGGGTGCAGCTGCTGCCCTGACACCAGCTTTGTGTTGCCAGAGAGGGACCGTCTTCCTGGCTGCAAGGCTCCTGGCCCTCTGTCCCCGCGCCCGGGCAGCGCCCCCACCGGCAGCAGCCCTGGTGAAGGCCCAGGGAGAGCAGAGCCCGCGGACCACTGCAGGCTCAGTGCAGGTGAGCCCGGGGACTCCTCGGAGGGGGCCTGGATTCTCACTTTGCCTGACTCTTGCTGGAAGTTCTCTGCTTTCGTCATGCTTGAGTTCCCTGCAGGTTGAGCCGGGTCTGAGAGAGAAGGTAGGGCACAGGGCCTCAGCATTGTTCAACAAGTGTGTTGAATTAGAAAGCCGGGCAATGAACCTAATACGTATACATGCTCTCTCTCTCGAACACGTACACGTTGTATGCGCTAATAACGTCTGTACACATATATAGTGTTGTGTTGGTCCCCAGCCTATCAGAGGTGATGCTCTCAGCGAGGGATGCCTGGGGCGCTCAGCCCATGTTACTCGTAGGGAGCCCCGTGGACATTTACCCCCCCTTGGGGTAAATCCTGTGGTTCTTAGAATCATAGGACGCATGTCAGCAAAAGCCATCAGGGACCCTGGAGGGACAGGATCTATGACCCCAGACCCTGCGGGGCACACCGTGGGGTCCCCGGTAGAGAGGTACAGCAAGAGTAATGCATGCGCCCGGGACTCTGCCTTTACTTGGCTCCAGGGGGGGTGTCCGGGTTCAGCGGGTTCACTCTTCACTGGGGAATTTAAAGCATCCGAGCGGGAGTTATGGCACAGGGAGCGGGGAGCGGGGTCGCTCAAGTGGCTAGTTATCTAAATCTCCGTGACACTGGGCCTTCTGAGTAAGGGGCTTTCATGGCTCAGGCAGGGCAGCCTGGTTCCATGTCTGGAGGGTTTGCTCATCGCTGTGTCGGGCAGCCGACGGTATGTTTACCCAAGATGGATGTCTTCTGAGAACTTCCAGGTCATCCTGTCAAGAAATGCCTGCCCCCTCCCCCCCGGCAGCCTCGCTCCTCAGTCCAGGCCTGACCCGGCGTTTCTCCCCACAGGAAAAGCAGAAGAGAAGACAGGGGGCAGGTCCCAGTTGCCCTGGAGAGACGTGTACTCAGAAACTCCGGGCCGGCAAGGCCCCCTGGGCAGTGCTGGAGGAGGTAGGGGTGTGGTGAGCAGTTGGGGAAGGGAGCTCCCTCCCAACTCAGTCCTTGGCCCCTGCACTGGCCGGGCCGTACCCGTGTTCCTCCCATGGGGCACGGCAGAGCGGGCTGGGCACGGGCCAGTTTCCCATGGCCCATTGGGCGCCCCCCTCACCAGGGTGGGGCCTGCAGACCATGGTCCTCTCCATCTGCTTCCTCCGGCCTTCACCTTGTGGGTGAGCCAGAGGCTTCAGCCCTGGCTGTAGAGGACTCCAGAACGAATCCAGTCTGCCCTCCTCACACATGCCCCAGCGGGCCATTCAGCCAGGGTTGGGCTCCCTGACAGGCCAAGTGTATCTGTCTTGCATCCCATTTAACCATTGTTTGAAAGTTAAATTTTTTTAGGCCATGTCCAAATATCCGCATGTCAGAAGGGGTATCCGTGCCCCAGGTGCTCTGTGCTCTTTCTGCAGGGGCAGCTGGGAACCCCTGCCCTGCGCCTCAGCCAGAGAAGAGGCCTGGTCCGGGGCCCTGCCAGCCTCTTGGATCAGCCCCTGGGCCCCTGTCCTGGAAGCCCAGGGTCAGTGAAGAATCCAGGGGTCCAGGGTCTGGAAATGGAAGACCAAGTGTTGCAGGTGAACACGGGGCTTCCCTGTCCCCTCAAGTCATCAGGAGCCCTGTGGGCATGGGGTGGGCAGGGGATAAGTGCCTGCGGTGGCCCCCCACCTGCCTTCCCTTCTGCTCAGCTCCTTCCTGTGGGGCAGGCTGGCCGGAAGCCTGGGGGAGGCTTGTACCTAGCAGCCTTCATAGGGTCATAGGCGGGAAGGGTCTCCCCTCGAACTCCAGATTGCTATTTCATTGTTTTCTCACAGAAATAGCTGTTTTTTTCATAAAAGTACTTTCTAGAGGTGAGCCTACCAGTGTAGATAACACCCAGATTCAAAGTCTGGGGTTTGAGGAGTCTTTCCAGAGAGATGAGGAAACGGGCCCAGTAGTGTTGAGCGACCTGGCCAAGGGCATCCGGAGAGACGGGGTTCTGCCTCACACCCGACCATGAGCAAGCTCCTCCTGTACCTATCAGAGGCGTGCTGAGGGAGCGCGTGGGGCTGGGTTTCCTGGCTCCCCATAGGGCCTGTGCCGAGACCCTCCCCCGAGCACTTGGCTGGGGCCCCGTCACTGGCTCGCCCCTTCCGCCGCTCTGCAGGCACAACCGTTGTACGAGAGCACCAAGCTGGCCAGAGGTTGCCAGGCCTTAGCTTAGATCCTTCCTGAAGAAGCTGACCAGGCAGCGTTCTAGCCCATCGGGGGTTCCCACAGTGCTCCACAAGTCACTTCTTTCTGTCTGGAACCTGGAGGTGTTGAAGAGGGGGCAGAGCTGGGCTGGGGTGCAGAGGACTGGGGGAAAGCAGGTCGGCCCCACCAGTCTGGGGCGGTAACCGGGCTTTCTTGTGAGGTTTGTCTGGCGTGGAGGCGAGTTCCACGGGGCTTTATGGTGAAGGATTAGGAGATTTTTTAAAAAAGTAATTTAAGATCTAAGATCCTATGACTCTGACCTCAGAATAGGGAGGGTAGAGGTCAGGATGGATGTGCTGATGAGGCCCCTGCATCACTAGAAGCATCCCTGCCCCTCGCTGCTCTGGCCCTCTTGGGCCCCTCTCCCGGATGCCGTCCACGGCCTTGGCATCTCACTGTCTGCTGAGCTTTCTCCAGACCCTGCCTACTGATGCAGCAGGGCAGCGTTAGGTGGTCTGGGATGCCATTTGCTCTGGAAAGTGGTCCTTCTCCCAGAAGGTGGGAAGGCCACTGACTGTCCTAGGAAAGCTTGAGACCAGCCCGTGGCTTATCCTGTCCATGAATTTGGGGAGCAGCCAAGAGATGTGCCACCTTTGATGTCGTGAACACTGGCATCCATATTCTCAAGCCTGAGTCACTTCTGTCCCATCTAAAGCCAGGCCTTAGTGGGTGGGGAGGATGCTGAAGGGGTCCCCTGGCGGGAGAGAAAGGTTCGGACAGCCCGTGAACTCTCATCCTGTGTCCCTGCTTTGGTTGTAGCCGGGACCCCTGGGAAGCCACTTCCCAGAGGCCTGCCTGAGCCGCCCCCTGCAGCTGCCATCCGTCCGGCTTTGCCGCAGGCGCCCCCCCAGCCGTGCCCCTGCGGAAGCTCTGTGCAGCCCGAGCTCCGCAGCCTTGGCACCGCCCTCTCGGAGAAGCTGGATCGGCTCGCCGCGGCCCTGGCAGGCCTGTCTCAGGAAGTAGCCACCATGAGGACCCAGGTGGATCGGTTAGGGAGGCGCCCTCGGGGCCCTGGGCCAAAGTGCCAGGCTTCCTGGCCGTGGGCCCCCTCCCGGGGACCTCGCTGGGCCAATGGCCCTGCTCACAGACACCTCCCCTACTGGAGACAGAAGGGCCCCACCAGGCCGAAACCAAAGATCCTGCGTGGTCAGGCGGAAGGCGGCAGGGCTGGTGACGTCTTAGGCCTCTCCTGCCGAAGGTTCCGCCCGGTATCTCAGCTGCCTCCAGATGCCCCCACGGCAGAACCTTCTGGGCCCAACTCCAGCCCTTCCCAGCAGCCGCTCTCAGCACGCAGCTGCCGTGCCGTGGTGCCTGTGCATGCTTCCCTTGGACACACCGGGGGTCACCGGAGTCCCCCCACCCCTTCAGTGCCTACTGCTTTACCCCCGCAGATGGCTTCTGCGGCCAGGGTAGATGCAGAGCCGCAGTTTGCAGCCGCGGTGCCGCCTGGGGCCGGCAGCCAGCCCAAGGATCCAAACAGCCTGATGGCGGGGGGCCAGAGAGCTCTTGAGGAGCAGCTGTGGGGCGGGGAACACAGCGCGCCGAGGTGGGGGGCCCCTAACCACCTTCTTCATCAGCTCAGTCCTGCTGAAGCTGTCCCGAGCCTGGCCACTTCTCCTAGGGGCTGTCCTGCACCCTTACCCTGCTCCAGCCGAAACTTCCCCACTTCCGGGCCGTGAAGGGGCTGGGAGTTCCGCCTTGGCCTGAGCACCCCGACTCCAGGACGCTTTTCGCTCAGGGAGGCCGCTGTTTGGGGTGCATTTCTCAGCCACGCCTCTGGTCTTCTTGGCTCAGGTTCATTCAGATGCTGCTTCCCCGTCCTGTCCTTTCCCCTGGAACTGTCCTAGCTTGCAGGTGACTGGAGTGCCCGCACGCGTGTGTGCGCCACGTTCGCCTGGGCACTCCAGCAGCTGCAGAGGGACCACGAGCACCCGCTTCCTAGCATCTGCGCTTCCTGATCTCAACACTGAGGAGGGCTTGGCCCTTGCTTTCCTGGTAAATCGGGGGCATGGGTTTCACTTGGAGAGGACCCTGCCCCTCGGCTGAAGCTGGATTTGCCCGTGTACAGGAGAAGTGGGGGCCTGAGGGAAAGGCCCTCGGCTCCTAGGAAGGGGCCCCGCGGGGCCGGACCAGGGCCGCCGTTGGTTCTCTTAGCAGGACAAGTACCTAGTCGGCTCAGCTGCCTGCCTCTCCACACCCTCGAGAGAACTCCGCAGTGTCCTGGAAGGCTGGGAAGATCAGCTGCGGAACAGAATTCCCAGATGGGTCCTTGGAAGAGCCCCACACGTTATACTGTGAGCACAGACCGCAGACCACAGACTGGGCGGCGTGAACAACACACACTCTCACAGCCTGGAGGCCAGAGTCTGGGGTCAGGGTGGTGGCTAGGCGGGTTCCTACTGACGCAGTGAGGGAGAGTCTGCCCCAGGGCTCCCTCCTGGCTTCTCACTGGTCATCTTCATGGCCACATGGCTTTCTCCCCGAACGCGTGCATCCAGATTCCCCCTTTGTGTAGGGACAGCGTCGGACTGGGCCCGCCCCAGTGCCCTCACTGTGACTTGATCACCTCTTTAAAACCCTGTCTCCAAGTAAGGTCATGTTCTTAGGTACTGGGAGTTAGGACTTCAACATGGATTTCAAACCATAACACGTGTAAGGGACTAGGTTGGTCTTCTTGAGTTCGTCTTGGGAGGAGAGGCATGACTACTAAGGTGTCTCCAGGCCAGAAGGACCTGCTCTGGGCCCCACCCCACTCGGTCGTATATTGGGAGTCCTGCCTGTGGCTTACCTGCCTCATGTCCTTCCCCAGGCTCAGATCTTTTCCCCTAGCCTAATGTTCCCACTTTCGTCCTTACTGGATGTGAAGAATCTTCAGGAACTGTGCGCACGTTGTCCGGGAGGGGCCACCCGGCCGGGCTGGCATGGTCAGCTCGGCAGTCAGGGAACCCAGGTGCCAGTGCTGAGGCCCAGGCCAACTCGGGCCCCAAAAGGGGCTATAGGCTTGCGGCTGTCGTGCCCGCTGCAGATCCCGGGACACATGCAGGGCTGGCCTGCGCTCCTGGCTGCCCCTCCGGAGGGAAGGGGGAGGGGCTGGGCTGCCCGCCGTGAGCGGCGGGGTGGTTGCCGTGTGTTCAGGACTGAGTCCCAAGAGGACTGTCTCGGAAGCTAATGTCTAGAAGATCATGTCACTGGATGTTTAAAAGAGGCAGTGTCTTCACATGTAGCCATACTTGATAAGAACATAAGGAACAAAAAACTTCTAGACTTTCCACTCAAAGACCTCAGGAAGATGAGTGAGTTCTTTTTCGGGCTTCAGTGAGCGAGGGCTGGGCACGTGTCAGAGCCCGTGGAGAGGGGAGGACAGGGCTGCGGGGAGGGGCGGAGGGTGCTGTCAGTAGGAGGAGGGTTCTGGGCACCCCTGCTCAGCCGTCCCTCGGTCCTGCCCACTGGCCTCCTGTCCCTTCTCCCCCTAGTCAGCAGCGGTCATGGAGGTGGTCAACACCTACCTTTGAATGGCATTTTAAGGTTTTGTTTGGTGGACTTCATGAATATCGGGCATCACACAGACCCTGTGCAGCAGGAGTGAAGGAGCAAATGAGCTCAGAGGGCAGAGGTGACCTTGAATTTGCAGAGCCTGTCCTTGGCAGAGCCTGCAGGAGCACTGCACCCCTGTTGGTGCTTGGCAGCCGGGCTTGGGCCCTCACCCGCTGGGTGACCCTCCTTCCAGCCTTCACCTGCGCTGCAGACAAGGATGCTCAGGGCGAGCCCAGTCTCGGTGGTCCACATCCAATCCGACCATATAGGAAGCTCAAATCTTTTTTTTGTTGTTGTTAAGAATGTGGAAAACAAATAATAAAATGAATGGTAAGAAGCTTCCTGATCTGCGTGTTCGCCTCACAGGTCCGCTGCCGCACAAGCACAAAAAGCTTTTATGGGTGTTAACTGGGAAATCTCGAATCACTCATTTGGTGGAAAATCTGTGTGCAGTTTAGTCCGTGTGCATCTCCTTCACCTACTTCACAAGGAAATGTGGTCTTTGGTGAGAGGAACAGAGGGGCCTTTTTGAACTCAGGAATTCCAGGGGCCGGCGGGGGGGGCGCGGGGGGAGAGCAGAGAAGGCTGAAGCTCTGCCTGCCCCCATTGTGCGGAATCTTCAGCGAATGGCTGCGGACTGACCAGGGTACAAACCTCCCCCACCCTGAGCTCATTTCAGGGGCCCTTGAAGTCTGCCCTCTGCCTTCCAGCCTGTAAAGCAGGAAAGGGAGAAGGGGCTTAACCTGTCAGTCTGAGCGGGCTCCCCACAGCCTCCAGGCCGGTGGAGGGGTCCAGTGGGAGGGGGGCTGCCAGGGGAGTGGGGGGGTGCACGGACCACAGTTTGCTGCCTGATGCATCCCCTGATGTCACCACTCCCTCCCGGAGGAGCTTAACACACTGGCAGACTGACTTGACTCCACTTTTTTGTGTCTTTCTGTTTCAGATGTGGCTTCTGGAAAGAGCCTACAGTGGGACTTTATTTTTTAATCCAGCTGGACAAGTTCTGTTCTTTATTTAGAGCCCTTAATCCATTTATGTGTAATTATGATAGATTTAGATTTGAATATACAGTCTTATTTTATGCTTATGTTTGTCTCACTTGTTCTGGGTTTTTTCCCTTCTTTCCTGCCTTCTTTTTATTTTTTTTAAGGTTTTACTTGTTTATTTGAGAGAGAGAGAGTGAGCAAGGGAGGAGCAGAGGGACAAGCAGACTCCCCGCTGAGCACAGAGCCCGACCTGGGGCTCTATCCCATGACCCCAAGATGATGACCAGAGCCCAAATCAAATCATGCTTAACTGACTGAGCCACCCAGGCGCCCCTCCTGCTTTCTTTTTAATTGACAGTGTTGTGGATTTTGTCTGTTTGGTCATTTCGTCTTCCCTCTACTAGCTTCAACATTTATTTTTATTTTTTTTAAGATTTTATTTATATGACAGAGAGAGACACAGCAAGAGAGGGAACACAAGCAGGGGGAGGAGAGGGAGAAGCAGGCTTCCTGCCGAGCAGGGAGCCTGATGTGGGGCTCGATCCCAGGACCCTGGGATCATGACCTGAGCTGAAGGCCAACGCTTAACGACTGAGCCACCTAGGCATCCCTAGCCTCAACATTTAAAGAACTAGGAGGAAAAACATCCAAATTTACAATCATGTTTGGAAGTTTTTAGCACATCTTTTTTAGAAATTGATAGAACAAAGCAGGAAAGATACAGATTTGAACAAGTCAACTAATAAAATTGGCTTGATGGATGAATATACAGAACACTGAACCATAGGACTACAGGAGGCCATCCTGGGTGTTTCCGGCTCCTGCAGCTGCCTTGCTGGGGGGCGGTGTGGGGCAGGTCCTCCAGTGACACCCCCCCCCCCAGAAGGCACGGAACCGAGTCCTAGGCAGTGGGCTGGCATCCAGAGCCTTCCGTGAGTGGCCACGTCAGTGGGACTTCTGTCGGAGCCGGGCTGGGCTTCTCGCCACTCCCTGTGCAAGCTGAGTCAGCCTGCTCAGGTGCCTTGCTGCTCCCCGCCCTCAGTACCCTTCCTTGGTGGTCACGTTTTGTTTGACTAAGTCCACTTTATTAGCAAAGTCCAAAGTGGGTGCCTCCACTGAGATTCCTGCACTGGGAAGGGATAGTCACAGCAGTGACGGCTCGTACTCTGTAAGCACTCTCCTCTGTCCAGGAATGGTGCTAAGGGCTTGCAAGGTATTTAATCCTCAGAGCAATCTTAAAAGGTAAAGTTTGTTATCTCCGTTTTACGGGTTCAAGCACTGAGCTTCATGGGTACTGAGTTCAGTAGCTTGTCCTAAGTCACAAATCTCAGAGGTAGTGGGGCCTGACTCTGCCTGTTATTGGGGGCTGCTCTCTGCTGCCCCCTTCCATTAGTGCAGCCTCAGCGTTCCCACGTGACCCTGTCGTTTCACATTATAATTGTATCGCTGAACAATATTCCAGGCAACTGAGGCCCATCAGTTATTTAGACATCTTTCTACTGTTTGCCTTGCAGTGAACAGCTTTGTGCTCGTGGCTTTTTTTCCTGTTTTCAAATCTCCAGAAATAGGATCACTGAATATGTGCATTTTAGGGATCTGGACAGGGAAAGTCTATTGTTTCCAAATGCATAATTTCGTTGACATTAGCAGTAGCTAGCTGTGTCAGTTTTACAAATATATATCATGGAGTGGGATTGATGTTTTTCCCTTTAATTTCAACCCTGCAGAAAATGTGAAAGAATGGTACAATGAACATCCATATACACTTCATCCAGAATTCACCAGATGTTAATATTTAGCCACAGTTGCATTATCTGGGTCTCTCTCTGTGTCTCTGTGTCTCTCTCTTTCCCTTTCTCTTTCCATATATATGTAGATATTTTTTTCTTTTTTGCTCAACCATTTGTAGGTATATTTCAGACATCAGGGTATTTCACTACAAAATATTTCATATATCTTAAGAGGAAAAATCTCCTATATAATCATACTATTACTAACACCCCGCAGAAGATTGAACATTGATAGAATAACATCACTGCACAGGGACACCTGGGTGGCTCAGTTGGTTAAGCATCTGACTCTTGATTTCAGCTCAGGTCCTGATCGTGAGATTGAGCCCCACGTCAGGCTCCGTGCTCAGTGTAGAGTCTGCTTGAGATTTTCTCTCTCCTCCCTCTGCCCCTCCCCCCATGTGCACTCTCTTTCTCTAAAATAAATAAACCTTAAAAAAGATCGCTGCACAATGCATAGTCTATATTCAGAAATTTTCAATTGTCCCCTGAATGATTTTACAATTTTTTTGTCCATGATTCAACTAAGAATCATGCATTGCATATGATTGCCATGTGTCTCTTTCGTCTCTTTTAATCTAGAACTTCCCTTACTCTTTTTTCTTCTGTGACATTGACATTTCTTAATAGGTCAGAGAATTTGCCTTGCACAACATCCCATTACCTGGATTTGCCTAATTGTTTCCTCATGGTTGGATTCAAGTTCAACATTTTGAGTGAGTCAACGACATCAGTGACATTGAGTGCTTTCCATTGTTTCATGTCAGGAAGTATATATTGTCAACCTGTTCCATGATGATAAATGTGATCGCTTGATTACAATGAAATCCACTAGATCTCTTCCCTGTGAGGATACCTCTTCCCTTTGTATAGTTGACCCTCAAACAACACGGGTTTGAACTGTGTGGTCCAGTTACATGTGGGTTGTTTTCGATAAATATGGTACAATAATATAAATATATTTTCTCTTCCTTATGATTTCCTTAATAACATTTTCCTCTTGCTGACTTTATTGCAAGAATACAGTAAATAATAATGTAACATACAGAATATATGTTAATTGCCTTTATGTTATCAGTGAGGCTTCTGGTCAGCAGTAGGCTATAAGTTAAGTTTGGGGGGAGTCAAGTTATAGGTGGACTTTTGACCTCAACCCCCACATTATTCAGGGGTCACGTGTAATTAATTGGCTATTGGTGAGGTGATTCTTTGAGACTTTGTATACCTTTCAGGTGTGTTAGGAGATGAATTTGTACCTTGAAGATACCTTATTATTAATGTGTGCCTGAAAGATCTGTGTACAATGTTGAAATTTTGTCCTAAGATCTGTAAATATTTGGAGAGAGAGAGAACCCCCCTGGCCTGCCCACTCTGCCTCTTCTCTCCGTTCCTGCAGCCGAGCTTCCTGTTTGCCCTGCTCTCATCCTTCACGGCGCATCTACCCAACGCACAAGCCTCAGCGACGTCATAGGCAGTCGGGCTGTCCAGGTGTGGGCAAGACATGAGGGAGGAGAGGCATCTGCCAAGGAGGATGATTTCCAGCTTGCAAAGCAAAGCACTCCTCTGCCTACTGGCTGAGGGAACAGGGCAGAGGAGCCCGTCACGACGTGGGACACGGAGTCTCCTCCCTGGCCCTGGGGAAAGGGATGGAGAGCCAAGCAGAGGGGCCAGTGAGGAGTCCTGAGCCTTCAGCCAAGGCCCGGCCCCCAGGAAGGGGGAGAAGGGTGCAGCTGGGGAGAGAGGCGCCCCCCACCAGGTGCAACCCTCACGGTGGGCCCTGCGGTGGCCTTAAAGCAGAGGTGGCCGTGGACCACCGCTGGAGATACTGGCGGCTTCGCTACCGGCCCTCAGGCTACTGACCCAGACGCCACGCAACACCACGTAAGACGCGCACTCTTTCCTGACCCCACCTGGCACCGTCAGGCAGCCTTGCGCAGCCGCGTTGGGGTGGGCTGGGCGTGTGGGCTGGCCTCTGTGCCCCAAGCCAGCCTCCGGGCAGGAGGGGAGCCTCAAATAACACCTTTGAGCACTTTTTACTCAAGTCAGGGAATCGAGTGTTTATTCACGGGAGTAGTCTACGAGGGAGGACACCTTTGGGAAGGTGAGGAACCAGGTTTGAAGAGAGAAGTCGGGGGCACCTGGGGGGCTCAGTCGGTTGAGCATCTGACTCTTGGTGGGGTCTCAGGTCGTGATCTCAGGGTCATGAGATGGGGCCCCGCAAGGGGCTCAGTGCTCAGCCGGGAGTCTGCTGGATGTTCTCTCTCTCCCTTTGCCCTCCCCACCCAAATAAATAAATAATAAATAATAAAGGGAGAAGTCTCACATTCTGCTGGGGAAAGCCTAAAAAGGTCTGCTGTGGGCTGAACCCGTGTTTCCCCCCGCCCCCACCCCATTCACGTGTTGAAGGAAGCCGTAGCCCCCAGTGGGACTATATCTGAAATAAGTAATTAGGGTGACAGGAGGTCATGAGGGTGGGGCCCTGGGCCGATGGGATTTGTGCCCTTATAGAAAAGAGGCACCAGAGAGCTTGCTCCCTCCGTGAGAACACGGGGAGCCTGCGA